TAATAATAATAATAATAATAATAGTAGTAGTAGTAGTAGTAGTAGTAGTAGTAGTAGTAGATTGGAGTTATACCCTGCCCTTCACTTGGAGTCCCAAAGTGGCTTACAATCTCCTTCCCTCCTCTCCCCACAACAGACAACCTGTGAGGTGGGTGGGGCTGAGAGAGATCTCTTGAGAACTGCTCGTGAGAGAACAACTCTGAGAGAACTTGTGACTGACCCAGGGTCACACCAGCAGCTGCATGTGGAGGAGTGGGGAATCAAACCCGGTTCTCCCAGATTAGAGTCCGCACTCCTAACCACTACACCAAACTTGGTCTCTAGCCAGTGAAGGCAGATAAGAATGACTATATCACCCACAAAATCTCTGTGTTCCAGCGCTCAACCAGGACTTCAACTGGAGTGTCAGCCATGTTGTTGGGAAACTCCCTGAGGACCACCGCGAAACCTTCAGGATCCATCAACCTTCAGGGATCGACTCTCCTAACTGGTCCTCCAGCTCTGCAGAGGCTATGAGCTCCTGTAAGTCTAAAACACACCAGGGGGTGGCTTGTCAGACCAAGGAACTGTTGATATCCCCCCCATTCTCAGACTGCTGTAATCCTTTTGGTATCTTCCTTTTGGTGGGGACTGAAGGAAACAGGGAACAGGTTAAGCTCGCGCAGGGCTCCCTGATCTGACCTGTGAGATGCTTTCCTCGGCTGGCCCCCTTTGCCCTTGCTAAACCAATGCCTGTTCTCTGACAGTTTTATCTTTACTGTGCAGATGGAGAGAGCAATGTCCAGCGCATCATTGGGGGATTCATTGTTGCCCCCCACTCTTCCAAGTATCTTGTGTCTCTGAAGAGGAATTCCGGCTACCATTTCTGTGGGGGAGCGCTGGTCAGTCGCAGATGGGTCCTGACGGCGGCGCACTGCAAAACTGGGTAAGGCCCTAGATGAGACCCGAAAACATCTGGGGATAAATCTGGGTTCGACAGAAAACTGGAAATGGAAGGAGAAATGGGAACGCCAGCGTGAAACATCACATAGATGCAGAACTGTGAGAAATATTTGTTTATAGCATGTTTATCCCACCTTAAAAAGGTAAAGGTTCCCTTGCTTGAAAGCCAGTCGAATCCGACTCTAGGGTTGTGGTGCTCATCTCCATTTCCAAGCCAAAGAGCCAGTGCTGTCCGAAGACGTTTCCGTGGTCATGTGACCGGCATGACTAAACACCAAGGCGCACGGAATGCTGTTACCTTCCCACTGAAGTGGTGCCTATTTATCTACTTGCAATTTCTTGCTTTCGAACTGCTAGGTTGGCAGGAGCTGGAACTAGAGACGGGAGCTCACTCCATCATGCGGCACTCAGGTCTCGAACTGCTGAAGTACCGACCTTCCACAGCCTGCAGTTCAGCGTCTTAACCACTTGAGCCACCGCAGCTCCTTATCCCACCTTATCTCACCTCATAAACGTGCTTAAGAGTGGTTTACACCTATTTTGATAAAATTACAGTGAAGAATCACACAATATAACCAGGAATCCCTCCACTCCCAGGAGCGCTAAATCAAACCCTCATTCAAATTCCTGGCAAAGAATACTGCCATATCGCTCCTTCTAAATACTAGAAGAGAAGCAAATCCTCCACGAAGCTATCTTTTACTGAATGAAAGTCAGTATTGCCTACTCAACTGGCAGCTGCTCTCCAGGGTCTCAGGTAAGGGTCTTTCCACATCTCCTACTGCCTGGTCCTTTCAGCTGGAGATGCCAGGGATTAAACCTGGGACCCTCCGCATGCAAAGCAGAGGTTCTTCCATGGAGCCACAGCCCCTCTTACCTCCTCCGGTAGCCGATTCCACAATGTGGGTGCAGCCACAGAAAAGGTGTGAATTGTTGTTGTTGTTGTTGTTCAGTCGCACAGTCGAGTCCGACTCTTCGCGACCCCATGGACCAGCTCCCGCCAGGCCTTCCGGTCTTCCGCCGTCCTCTGAAGTTTGCTCAATTTCATGTTCGTTGCATCTATGACACTGTCTAACCATCTCATCCTTTGCCGTCCCCTTCTTCTTTGACCTTCAGTCTTTCCCAGCATCAGGGTCTTCTCCAGGGAGTGCTCCCTTCTCATTTGGTGGCCAAAGTATTTGAGCTTCAGTTTCATTATCTGGCCTTCCAGGGAACAGTCAGGGTTCATTTCTTTTAGGATTGACTGATTTGATCTCCTTGCAGTCCAAGGGACTCTCAAGAGTCTTCTCCAGCACCATAGATCAAAAGAATCTATTCTTCGGCGCTCAGCCTTCCTTATAGTCCAACTCTCGCAGCCATACATGACATGTATTGTATTGTATTGTAGTGGAGGACAAACAGGTAGATTAAGCTAGGGGATAAGGTCAAAGAACTGACCTGGGGAGTGCAACTGGTGAACAGGACTGTCTGGGGAGGAAGGGTCCTTCAGGTATGGGGTCCCAGGTCAGGATGGAAGGCTTTCAAAGGACGAACCAGTGGTGTAGTGGTTCGGGGTTTGAATTAGGATCTGGGAGACCCAGGTTTGAATTGGCACTTTGCCATGAAGTTCACTGGGTGATCTTGGACGAGTCGCTCTCTCTAAGCCTAACCTAGCTCACAGGGTTGTTGTTGTTATTGTTGTTCTTCTGATGATGATGATGAATCACCCGCCCTGCAAGCAGGCTCTGGGCGATTTACAACCTCGTAAAATATTTAAAAATGCAATTAATGCATAATTAAAAACACCAGCAGAACAGTAAATCGAACCTATCCAAGATGGCAATACAGTTCCTCTTTTGTCGCCACACCACTCTTCCGCATAGCAGAGCGGAAGATATAATGAAGACCTAATGAAGGAAGGGAGAATGATGTACCCCACCCTGAACTCTTTGGAAGAAAGGAAAGGTAAAAATGCACCTATCAGTAGAGTCTGGGAGAAAAGATGGATAATTTAATGATCCTGCCCATTCTCATCAGGTCACTAGTTACTAGAAAAGAAAAGCCAGGACACATCCTTTTTCATATGTAGGGTCCATCATACTCTTGAATAGTCCCATAGGAGCATTTCCTGCAGGAGAGCACAGGAGCGGAGCTCAGGAAGTAAAGAGCCCAGGGGGCGGGCACATGCAACAAGCCCCACCCCCTGATCCCAGCTCCCCTCGGTCAGAGCAAGAAGCAGCCAGGTAAGTTGCAGAGGCCCCCCCCAGTCCCCCGTCCCAAAACAGTCCAGTGGTACCATTAAGACCAAGTTTTATTCAGGTACAAGCTCTCCCTCCTCTGGGAGGACAGATCTGCACGTCCCA